CAGTGCGTCCCGTGAGCTCCGCCAGCTGTTCGACAGTGATGGCCCAGGCAAGTTCGACCCGTCAAAGGTGACTGAGAACATGCTGCGCATCTACAGGTACAGTACGCACTACGACCGCAGCAACGGCGACGTCGACACTCACTTCGACATGGGGACGCTGTCCATCGTTCCGAAGAGCACCTCCCACGGCCTCTTCATGCTGCCCACGAGCGCCCAGGATCAGCATCGTCCAACCTCTTCCCATCCCCACTGGGCTGTGGCATCTCAGCTCCACCAGCAAACCCTCCTAGCAGGTGATAGGCCCAGCGAAGCCTGAAGGCTCGGGCATATATGATCCTGGGTCAAGCGTTCACAGCACCCCCAGATGGGATGGGTCCCAGGGTTCTACAGGCCCCTCCCCAGATGGGATGAGGGGGGGACGACGACGATGACGACGACGACGACGACGACGACGACGACGACGACGAATCACCCCAGGACACGCCAACAGGGCCAGGACCACAGGGGGGGAGCGATCCCATTCGCGAGGCCTTCGCAAGGCTCACGGGCGTACCCATCCAGCAGGGGAGAGAGGGAGCTCGATCCCATATGCATTGGAGGAAGGGGGGGGCAACCCTGGATCATGGAGTCCCACCTCGGTGGGTAGGTGGGCCAGTGGGGCCAAGGCCACTCCAGGTTGGATAGGGATCGGTTACACGATGCTCAGAGGAAGCGCCATTGCAGTCCGCTGGGCGGCTCCCAGCCTCCTGCTGCGTCCCCATCGAGGAGCGGATGGGCGACGACGAGGTGCTGATGTTTGTAGGCATGACACTCGCACGATTGACGGGCATACCGGCGCTCCAGCACGGCGTCTTCACCGAGTGGAAGGTGTCTACCAGACTGGAACATATCCCCATCCCTGTGATCGGCATCACCTTCTCTCGGTGCCGATCTTAAGGATCCCCTCAGTTTCTGAGGGCACATCCCTAAGACTTTTATCGCCTTGGGCTTGTCGATCTCGGGGATCGGGACAAGCTCGAGGCTGGTTAGGTGCGGTACTCCGCGCCGTTCTTCCAGCGACTGGCGCCTTGCTGCGTCCTGCCCGCCTGCGCCCGCCACCCGAGGGAGAGAGTGAGCGAGTACAACCAGCGCCTGCGCGACGCAGAGAACGAGGAGCTGCGGGGCGACGGCGGCATCGTCCTGACGAAGCGGCGCGACGACTCCCGCGAGGCGCCCTCGAGGCCGTGGGGCGGCTGCAGGGCCCCGGGGGCTTCACGGGCAGAGGACGCTGCCGGCCACCAAGAGCACATGGGCTGCCACGGCTGGCGGCCATGGAGAGATGGCAGGGGCCCCGAAGCTTCGCAGATGGAAGACGTTGCTGGCCACCAGGAGTAGCCAATCGCGCTGCCGCGCAATGTCCGCCACCGAGCTCCAGGGACCCACAGAAGCTTTGGGGCACCTGGTACCCTCAAAGGTCGGCGAAGAGTGGCCCGAGATTTTTCTTGCAAGGAGATCTCTTACCACATGTGCCTACTGGATGTTGCGCCACGCCCACTTGGAGTCAACGCGGTTAGGAACTTTAGCTTAGCGTGTTGCGCCGCTGGTTCTGCCCCACGCTTCGGCGCGACACGCTGGCCACATCCCCGCTCCCGAGCGTCAACTTCCCGAGACTCTCCCAGCCTCCCGTCCTGCGGAGCGCAGCGACACGATGGCGGCTTGCAGGGCACAGCGTGTCGCGGGGGCCGCCGCAGGCAGCGACGGGACGCGTGCTGGGCCCTGGTGCGCCCAGGGAGCCCCTTGCTTGTCGCTCCGCGGGTCGGGAGGCAGAGCGAGGGGCTCCCGACGCCCGTGCGCCAGCGGGCCACCGGGCCACCCAAGCGGCGGCGGTCATGACGGGCATCCTCGGACGCTGCTTGCTCTCGAGGGGCGAACGAGGTCGGCGAGCAGAGAGAGCGCCGTGGGAGGGGGGCCGGTGCACACCCTCTTGCCTGCAGTGTCGCGGTGACGACACCGTCGCGATGCTCTAAGCCGGGACGCGCTTAGGCGAATTACCACTTGGCGTTGCAAAGGGGGGGTCTGGAGGAAAGCAGAAGCATGCAGAAGAACGCGAGACCGCGAATGCATGTGGAAGACGCCGATGATGTAATGCAGGGGCAGAGTCGCGCGGAGCACACCTGACACTGAAATGCAAGAAAATGCAGGCGGAAGAAGCCGAAGCGACCACCACACACACGCACACACACTTTTCACTTCGCGGCCAGTCGATCCAACGTAGCGGGGACGTTAGCAGTTCGCAGGTTGCGCTAGGTTGATTACGACTGAGCGTATGCCGATGGGGAGGCAACCGAAAGAGGGTTGCGCGTGCAGAAAAGGCGTGTGTGTATGCACGATTGACGAGCACATACACCGACGCCGGTAGCTCATTTGGGAGGAACTCAGGCGCCGGCAGGAAGCGAAAGCAGTGCGACTGGCGCCAGCGATCAGGTGGACGGCCCCAAAGAGCACAGCACACACACACACACATACACACACACGCACTTGTTGTATCCAGCGGCTGCGCGACGTCACTACAGCGAGAGCTAAGTCGGGCCACGTTTAGCGTTAACCACATCTGGCGTAGCAGGTGTGAACTACGCATAGCGCGTCGCGTACAGAAAATTTGTAGTGGACACGTTTCGGCGTTGCGGCCACGCGCGCGGCGGCGCGGCGTAGGCAGTCGAGCGGGAAAACGCTCGCGGCTGGGCCAGATCACGCGGCGTGGGGACCAGTGAGTGGTCCGCCCATAGGGGATCGCCTGGGTCACTCGCGGTGGGCCGCGAGGGGAGGGGGTTGAGGGGGAGAGGGGGAGAGAGGCGGCAGGTGAGGGCACAGTGCGAAGTGCAACAGCATCCTGGGTAAGGAGGAGTACTGCAGGCAGACAGCCCGCACATACACACACACACACACACACGCACACACACACACACACACACGCACACACACACACACACGCGTGTGTATATATATATAGGTGTGTCTATGTATACACACAAGTACCGATATATATATATATATATATATATATATACACATATATACATACATACATGCGGGTGTGTGTATTACGGTCGTCGCTGGTGGGCGACTCGCCACACCGCCAGACGCGCCGCGCGAAGGACCGCGCGCGAGCCCAGTAGTCAAAAGAGGGGCAGGGAAAAGGCGAGACGGCCGACCCCTCACGGGGAAGTGGCCGGGTGCGGCGCCGAGGCGGCGAGGCAGCGGGCAGGCGCCGGCGAGCGGCGGGGCGGCGAGGGGGCGGCGTCCGCAGGGCGGGGTGCCAGGGCGGGGCGGGGCAGCGGGGCGGCGAGCGAAGGCGGGGCAGCAGGAGGGGCGCCGCGTCAGAGTTAGGGCGGGCAGTGCGCGGCCCGCGGCAGCGGACCAGCACGAGGGGCGGCATGCCAGGGAATGGCGGGCGGGGCGCGGCCCCCAGAAGCGTGACGGGCGGGAGGGAGGCAGCCGGCACCAGGTCTTGACCGAGAGGCCAGGAGAGGCGGAAAAGCCGGACGCATACACACACACACACACACACACACACATTTTGGCAGTCGCGGCCTCGCGCGCAGCGACGAGGCAGAGAAAGGTCAGGTTTGGTGCGCGCGCGGCCAGGCCCGCAGTGGAATCACCGAAGAAGATTCGAGCAACACCATCAGCAGCAAACCATCCGGGCGTGGACGGCACGGAGGAGACACGCTGCGCCCGGCGTTGGATTGCCAACGGGAACGAAGCGCGAGAGCGTGGGCAGGAGCAGAACAATCCAGGCCTGGATGGCGGGGAGGAAACGCGCCGTCGAACGCTGGTTTCCAGCGGAGATTTGGCGCGGGTGGAGCACAGGAGATACGTTGGATGGACAGTGACGATGCGGGCGACGGGTGAAACAAGGCTACAATCGTGGGGTGACGGGCAGGAGCAATGCGTGGGAGGCCGCACACAAACACACACACACACACACGCACACACACACACACACACACACACACACACGCACACACACACACACACACACACACACACACACACACACACACACACGCACACACGCACACACACACACACACACATAGACACTGACACGCCAAATGCCGCACGGCGCGGTGGCGGGTCTGGGCTGCGACATCTACGGGGACTTCCACGGCCAGGGAGGCCAGAGCGATTGGGGAGACCAGAGCGGCTGGGGAGGCCAGCGTGGCGGCAAGGCCGAGGGGTGGTACGGCGGCTGCGGCGACTCGTGGGGGCCGCGCAGCCGCAGCAGGACCGTCCTCATCTTCCTCTCGTTAGCCTCCTCATCTCCTCATCATCATCATCATCATCATCATCATCCTGGTCCTCCACCTCCTCATCCTCCTCATCATCGTCGTCATCATCACCACGATCATCATCATCATCATCATCATCATCATCATCATCATCAGCAGCATCCTCATCCTCATCCTAATCTTTCTCCTCCAACTCCAACTCCTCCTCCTCCTCCCCCTCCTCCTCCTCTTCCTTCTCCTCCTCCTCCTCCTCCTCCTCCTCCTCCTTGCCTCCTCTTCCGCCTCCTCTTCCTGCTCCTCGTCATTATTGCCTCCTCCTCCTCCGCCTCCTCCTTCTCTTCCTCCTCCTCCTCATCCGCTCTTCATCCTCCTCGTGCTCCTCCTCCTCCTCGTCCTCATCATCATCATCATCATCATCATCATCATCATCATCATCATCATCATCATCATCATCATCTTCCTCTTCCTCTTCCTCTTCCTCTTCCTCTTCCTCTTCCTCTTCCTCGTCCTCTTCTTCTCCTCCTCTCCTCCTCCTCGTCCTTCTCCTCCTCCTCCTCCGCCGCCGCCTCCTCTTCCTCCTCCTGCTCCTCCTCCTCCTCTTTCCACCTCCTCCTTCTCCTCCTTTCCCGCCTCCTCCTCCTCCTCCTCCTCCTCCTCCTCATCATCATCATCATCATCATCATCATCAGCATCATTCCGTAGCCATTTTGGCTCAAGCCGTTTTGGCAGGCAGGTGCCAGTCGTTTTCTCCTCCTCGCGGACCCGCGCCACGAGCTGCAAGCTGAAGCCCCTCGGCATGACGCGCCGTAGGCAGCGCCGCGAGGGCGGCTCGGCGGGAGGCAACGGCGAGAGGGACAACGAGGCTCGCTCAGAGCGGATTGTGGTCTTCGAGAAGACCAAGATTTGCAAGTTCCACATCATGGGGATCTGTACCAAGGGCGACGGTTGCCGCTTCGCGCACGAGAGAACGCAGCTGCAGACGCTGCCTGACCTGTCCTGCACGAAGCTGTGCAAGACGCTGATTGCCACTGGTGTGTGCAACAACGAGTCCTGTCGTTACGCCCACAACAAGGAGCAGCTCCGCGATATGCCCGACCCGTCGACGAAATTGCCCTTGAGCTCTTTGGATGGCGTGTCCAACCAGCAGAGCATCAGCTCTCAGCAAGCTGCATATGCAATGCAAGGCACTGCAGTGGATCCGCTGGCGCAGGCAGCTGGCGGCGGCGCGAGCCTGGTAGCGGGCACGGGTCCGTACGGGATGGTGATCGGCCAGCCGATGCCGCAGGGGGCGATGCAGGGCCAAGGACCCGTGAACCCCTCTCTCATGCAGGCCGCGATTGTGCAGATAGGACAGGTTGCTCAGGCTCACGCGGCGGAAGCGGCTCGGTTGCAGGCGATGGCGCAGACCCTCAACGACGGCTCTCAGCATCAGCAGATGCCCGCGGCCTCGCCGCAGTTTTTCACCGGTGGCCCGCCATTGGCAACATGGCCTACACGGCGCCGCTGGGCCAGGCGCTGCCGGGCGCGCCGGTCCGGGGCGCCGCCGAAGGCCACGGTGGTGGGACGGACGTGGCCAAGCCGCGGAACTTGGTGCAGATCGCACAGCGCATCGAGAAGAGCGCCCTATCGTCAGGCGCGCCGGGGCCGCACTGCGACAGCGGGTACGGGCGCACCGTGAGCGGGGCCACGGGGAGCACGGCGGCCGGCAGTCAGGACGCCGACGTGGACGCTGCGGACGAGGGCGGCGGCCCGCGGCTGCCTGCGGCGCAGGGGTACACGGACACGGAGTACCTCGAGGCTGCCCTCGCGGCCGCGGCTGGCGCCCCGCTGGTGCACCGGCTCGGTGGCGGGCCAGACCTCGGCTACGAGCGAACGGGGGTTGGCCTCCAAGAGCTCGCCCGGACGCCCCCGCCGTTCGTCTGGAAGGCCACTGCCCCCAAGTGGTGGCGCTCGGACCAACTGGAGAGTTTCCTGGCCGGAAACGGTTGGACAGAGCCGCAGGTGACCGGCGACCTGGGGCACGGTGTCTGGAGGTTCCGCGCCAAGGCACGCCCCACGGACAGCACGTCTTACATGTGGGAGGGCGCCGACCAGTCCGAGCGGATCACGGCCCTCCCTATGCCGAGGAAGGTCAAGCAGGAGAATGTGGGCAAGCAGCTCCGCCGCCCAGCGCTCCCCTGGCTGGATGACGACGACGTCAAAGACGCTGACGACGTCACCATGGGCGACGAGGACAGGAAGGCCCCGGCGGCGGCCCCCGGGGGCTCCCCCGCTCAGGAGCCGGCCGCGGGCGGCAGGGGCGCCACTGCACCGCGCGAACAACAGCCTCCGACGGGCACCAAGCAGGGCAAGGGCACGGGAGACGGCGACCGGGTCCGCAAGCGGCTCAAGCTGAATGGCAACAGTGTCATCAAGGACAAGACGTGCATCCTCGACAGCTACGAGGTGGTCGAGACCGGCGGCCAGGGTGCATGCGGCTACTGCGCGGTGGTGGGCTCGGGCAGGATGGCCAAGGACAACGCGGCCGACCTTAGCACCCAGGAGGTGCTAGACAAGATCATGAAAGAGGCCGGCACCCTCCGGGCCCAAACGGCCCAGCAAATGACCAACAACCCGGACGTCTGGGAGGAGTATACGACCCCAAGGCCGCGAGCCACGCGGGACGTTCTTGGGCCGAACACTTGAGCACGCGCGCTTACACGACTTTCTGGATGGACGAGCTGCAGATCACAGCGACCGCGGCGCGGCTCAAGCGCATGATTACGGTCGTCTACCGGGGCGACAAGAACTTCTGGGCCAGGAGGACCCTGGGCGAGCAGTTCCGCAAGAAGGGTTGGTTCGTCCTGACGCTCGTGGATGAGCACTTCCAGGCTGTCCGCCCTGTGGCTTCCGGCTGGCCGGAGGCTCTCGCCGAGGGCGCGGGGGGCAACATGCCCTACGGGGGCAGAGGCGGCGGCCGCTCGCATCCACCTCTGGCCTCAACGAGCAGCCGCAGCAGCAGGACGGCCAACTCGCGGGCCCACGGCCCGGCGCCAGGGCCACGAGCTACAACAACCTCCTCCTCTACTCCTCTCCTCCCCTCTGGACACGACGACGCACGCGATGAAGGAGGAGGAGGAGGAGGAGGAGGGGGGCGAGCAGTTCGAGGGAGCGCGAAGACACCGGCGCAGGCTCCGCAGTCGCCGGCCTTCTCCTGGTTCTCGAAGGGCAGCACCGCTCGGGACGCAGCGAGGCCGGCCAGCGCGCCGGACCAGGGCCACACCGGCGCGCGGACAACGAGGGCTCGGAGTTTGGCGCCCATCCAGGACGACGCACGTCGCGGAGGAGGATCACGACGCGGAGGGCGAGGAGCACGAGGACGAGGAGCAGGAGGACGAGGCATGGCGCCGCAGTCGCCGGCTTTCTCCTGGATCACGGACGACAGCAGCATCAAGGGCGCTGTGCCGGCCGCACGGGCAGCCAGCGCGCCGGAGCGTCAGGCGCACGGACTACGAAGGCGCGGAGCTCAGCGGGCTCGACGCCTCCCAGCGGCCGCAGGGCGAGCGCAGCCCCAGCAGCATTTTCGGCCTGTTCTCTGGCAGCCTTCTCCTGGCTTTCGGGCCGGCCGCGGGCCTCCGAGGATAGGCCGCTGGCGCTGGCATTGGCTCCGCCTCGAGGCCGGCAGGGTGGCCGAGGCAGGCTCGCCAGGGCCCGCTCTGACGATCAGATTGCGTGCGAGGAGTTCGAAACTTTCCTCAGCTCTGCACGCGCAGCGTACTCGCACGAGGACCGGGCCCTCCCCGCAGGCCAGAAGGCGGAGATGGACGGCCTGACTGACCAGATGCATCGGTGGCTGGACTCCTCGAGGGCCGGCGGCCGGGCTCCCACTCGAGCAGACGTCAACGAAGCGCATCGAGTACGACGCGGCGCTCACGGTCGGGAAAAATTCGGGCGGGGCCCCGATTGTGGTCGGGGACTTCAACTGGCGCAAGGCCTACGACGATTACGTGCAGACCCCCTGGAGGATCGTCGACGCCGTGCCCACCACGGTGGCTGGCACCACTGCCCCCACTCGGTGTCTGTCGGGGGGGTGTGGGGCTGCGGTGGACGCCTCCCCGGTGGTCCACGTCCCCCGCCACTACGGCGTGGTCTTCGAGCTTGGCCCCCCTGCCCCTGCCCCGCCCCGCGAGGTGCGCGTTCGGCGCGCGGCGTCGTACAAGATGCAGCGCGCGCCCACCGAGGCCGAGGACCTCCTCCTCCGCTCGGCCGCTTCGGACTGAGGGGGGGGCCCGGGGGCGGCGACGCCCCCGCCGAAGACGAGCTCTCGGCCCCTGCCCCCACTCCCGCTCCTCCTCTGGACGGCCCTTCCAAGGCCCTGGCGGCTTGGCACCGGCGGGCGGAGGCGGCTTTCCGCGCGGCGGCGGCCCTGGGCTTAGCCGAGCTCTGCCGGCCAGGCGAGCGCGCCAAGGGCTCGGACCCCACACTTAGGGCCACGGCTGGGTCGCCAGCTCACCGGCCTCCAGAATCCCATCGTCTAAGGCGCCTGCACCGGATGCACCGGCGCGTCGAGGAGGCGAGCCGACGGGCTGGCGGGCCCCTCGGTGCCATCCCCCCTCGCCTCGGTCGGCGGTGGCGCCAGGCCGCCCGGGACGGGGTTCTCCAAGGCCCCCCCCCCTTCGACGCTCGGCGAGGCGGCGGCCGCGATCACGGCCGCGGCTACTAAGGAAGCTCAGACCGAGGCCGGCGTCGCTGCGGCGAAGCGGCGCAAGCGCTTCACCGCTTGGGGGGCTGCCACGGCCGCCTTGGCCGCCCGCCGGATGCGACCGGAGCGACCGGGCCCTGCGTTTTCGGCGGCCGATATGCGGGCCGAGTGGGCCCGGTGGTGGGACCCGCCCGCTCCCGCGGCGCCGGCCCGCGACGACCCGACCTGCGATCCGCCTGCGGCCCCGCCGGTTGCCCCCGACTGGGCGGGCGCTCCCCGGCTTTTGGCCCCCCCCTCCCTGGAGGCCTTCTGCGACGCCCTCGGCTCCGCCGAGGGCGGCCCCGGCTGGGACGGCTGGGAGAGCGCGGAGCTCAAGGACATGGTCACCCACATGCCCTGGCTGATCTCCGAGTTGCACGGTATCCTCACCGAGGCTATACTGGGCGACCAGGACTGGCCCGCGGAGCGCCTGGCTGCCTTCGCCTCTGTTAAGGTGGCGGGCATCCCGAAGCGCGGCTCCGACGAGTCTCGGCCGGTTGCTGCGGCGCCGGTCTGGCTCCGGGCCTGGCGCTCGGCCCTCCTCCCTGACCTCCCCCCGCCCCCCCCCGAGGCTTTTGGTGAACGGGGCGCCGTCGCGTCCGCGGCGGACTGGGCAGCCGCCCCGGGCCGCGCCGGGGCCGAGGTCGATCTCACTAAGGCTTACGATTCGATTTCGCACCCGGTGGCTGCTGAGGCCCTGACCCACTTAGGGGCGCCTCCGCCGGTCGTCCGGTGGCTCAGCGGGCCGCCCCTCGCGTCTGCTGCGTCGCCGGGACCACGGCCCCGGCCATCCACCCTACGACCGGCATCCCTGCCGGTTGCCCCTGCTCGGGCCAGGTCCTGGGGGCCGCGTTGCTCCCCTGGCATTTCGCCACGCGCGCGCTCACTGAGGTCCGGTCCTGGTCCTACGTCGACGACCGGAGCCTGAAGAGCTCCGACGTGGAGGCCCGCCCCCAGGCCCTTGGGGTGACGGCCTCGCTCGACGGCCGCCCCGGGCCCCTGGAAAACGCCGGCAAGCGGCAGCTCTAGACGAGGACACGGAACACCTGGGCATCCGGGCCTGCCCCGGGAGCCATCTGGTGCCCCCCCCGGCCCCGGGGCCCCGCGACGGTTGGGGGGTCATCGAAGATGCTACGCGCAAGCTGCTGCTCATACCCGGCAGGTGGAATGCCCCCCCCCTCTCTGGTCAAGCTTACCTTCTGGTGCGTCGCTCGCACCCGGTGCACTTGGTGGGACCAACGACGGTGGTGGGCCGAGCGCCTTGAGCTCCACCCCATCTTCGGCACCTCTCTCCAGGCCCTCCGCCTGGCCGCTCGCTTCCCCCGCTCGCCCCTCTGGCGTTCGTGCGTGGCTCACCACGCTGACTCGTTCGGACTCGTCTCCCACCCGGATTCGCCCGGGCTGCTGCCTGTCTGGGTCCGCGCCGGGCCCTCCCTCGATCCCCGGGCCGCGGCCGCCGTGGCCGGGATCGTCGCCTCCTCCGCCCCCCCCCCCTACTTCGACGCCTCCCCACCCCGAGGTCAGCACGTCCTCCGGGTCTGCGCGCGCGCCCGGCTGCTCCAGGAGCGGCCCCAGCGGCCGCGCTACGACGAGGAGGGCCTGGGGGACGTCGACATCGAGGCCTCGTCGATGCCCCCTTGGAGCTCCTGGCGCGCGGGCCTTGGTAAGGACGACCTTAGCCTCCTGCAGGTCTGGCGCGGGGGCGCCTCTTGCACCCCGGCGCGGCGGGCCAGCGGCCAGGCCCCCTGCCCGTTCTGCGGGCACGCCACCGCCTCGGCCCCGCACTTCTGGGCCGAGCGCCCCCGCTTCGGGCCCGATCGCGCCGCCCTCGGCGGATGCACGGCGTCGCTGAGGCCTGGTGGCCCGGCCAGCCCGGGGTCACAGCCAAGACTGGCTGGATCACCTTCGCCGCCGGCCCCAGCACTGAGGCCCGGTCGCGCCTACAGGTGATGGCGTGCGAGCTCGGGATCCGCATCCTGGGCGCGATGCCCCGGGACGCCGCCCCGGCCCCACCTCGCAGAAGGCTTGCGGCTCGGCGGCCCGCCGCGGCCGGCCCTGACGGCGCTCGGGCCTCGAAGCGGCGGCCCGCGCCCCCCTCTCCCCTTCCTGACACGGCTCAGGCGGGCGACCAGGCTGGGAACGACGACGGCTTGTGCAGCGACGCCGACGTCGCTGACGACCCGCCCCCGCCCCCGCCCCCGGTCGGCGGCGAGGTGGTGGTCGGTGCGCCCTGCACGAGACACACGCGGGAGTTGTCTCCCGTGCCCCTGTCGCCCGGCCGCCGCTCGCGGCGGAGGGTGGAATCCCTGCCGGAGAGGCCCCGGCGACGGCCTCGCCCTCCTCCCCTCCCTCTCCTCGACGGACCCGGTGTCGGAGAGGTTGAGTTGGTTTGATGTTTTTTAGTTGTTTTTGGGGTCTCCCATGTTTTCTGACTCTGGCTAGGCTTTGCGTGGCCGGATTCTCCCTCACCTTCAACTACTTTCTCGGCCCCCGGCCGAGGGCGCCAAGGCATCATGAAGCCCGTCAGCCACATCATCCTCTTCTTTCTTCGAAGAGGCCAGAAGGCGGAGATGGACGGCCTGACTGACCAGATGCATCGGTGGCTGGACTCCTCGAGGGCCGGCGGCCGGGCTCCCACTCGAGCAGACGTCAACGAGAAGCGCATCGAGTACGACGCGGCGCTCGTTCCACTTTGGCTCACCCGCTCCGGGGGGGCAACTACGCCTGCCCTTGCGGCTGGCGGCCGAGCCCGGGCGCGGACTGGAAGACCAGCAACGACCAAGCACGTGCACATTGGTCAGCGTGCCAGCCTGGACGGAGGCGGCCCCGGCTGCTAGCGGAGAAGAAAAGGGCCCTCCTCACCAAGTACCGGGGCAACCACGTGGCCGGCTGCAGCACGGCCGCCTGGGCGAAACACGACAAGCGCATGGAGACCATGACGGGCGACTTCAAGGCGAAGTGCTGCGACCTGGACCGCGCGGACCAGCAGTGCACCAAGAACGAGAGCGGATGCCGGCTCACGGTTTTCAAGAGCATGCGGTGCACCGCCTACGTCCAGAGGAACAGGATCTGGGAGAGGCCATGCCCTTCGGCGGGCAAAGGGCCGCCCGGGCCGAAGAAAGGCGGCAAGCCCTTGGATCTCCCCACGCTGCG